GGTGTCTACAAATTTGCAAGAAATATGAAATTTCTTAACTTTTATTGTTGTCATACGAGGAACGGTTTCTAAAAATCGTTATTCGATTATAGTATTCATTTCGCATATTTATCGCAAATTTATAGACACTCTTTTCTACCCTTTTACACCCGTTTTCAAAATTACGCGACCTCCCTGAAAAATACTCTTTACTTCAAATGTCAATTTTATGTCACAAAAACTGCTAAAAATAGCAAACGTAAACAAACTGTCAAAAGACATTTTAAACCGTATTTAATACCAAAACTGAACAAAAATGAGTTAAATACAAGCACAATACAAACCATCACAACAGAAATATGTGTCGTGAATAACTTTTAAAGTTTGAAAAATAACAATTTATCCAACCTCGTGGTTGCAATTTATCCTGGAATATAGCTGTCAGTATAAAATACGCGCGCTAGAACGGTGATCAGGGATACTGGAAGTTGCTGAGGGCAAGGGGTGCAATTGGTTAACAAAAGGGCATACTCCATAACAAAAGGGTACCAATGAAAATGAAACGGCGTCATGATCCAACATTCGACCTCCCTCCCCGTCACCAATTTTTTTCGGACCGAATACAATTATTTAGGCACAATTCCTCCATAATGCTTCAATAAAAATTCCATAAGTAATGCTTTCCGTTTCACCTTTCGCCAAATGGATAACACTGAACTTTGCCGAATTCCTGACGACTGCGGGGTGGAGCACCCCCACATACATCCTCAAGCGACGTTTAATTCTGTCTGCTGTAAAAGTTTTGTGCAGCCGATACACCCATAGTCTGCACCCGCACTGCACCCACAAAGTTGAAAATGCAAAAGGCAAGGGGTGCACTTGCACCCGCTGCACCCGTGGTTCGGGCATCCCTGACGGTGATGTTATGATTTTGTTTGTGCTTAAATTTTACAATAATTCCCACTAAAAATATCTTGAAATCATTGTAAGCCTGTTTATATAAAGCATACAAAGCATATACAACGACAAGGAACCGCAAAACTCAAAGTTTAAACTTCGTGTAGTTCGTGACCGAATGACATAAAACTGACATGTCAACTCTAGCATTTTCGTCCTTGATCGCGTAATTTTGAAAACGGGTGAAAACGTTTGAAAACTCTTCGCCACGAACACAAAATAAACAAATTAGCTAACTCGATCAATTCCTGTTAAAACATTGCTTAAACCCTTATCTTTGGACCAATATAAATTCTATAAATTCCCTCTGAAAGCCCTGTAAATTACTTAACTCAACATTCTATCATTTAAAATCTTTGATTTATTCAAAACAATAAATAATAGTAATTTTTACCAACCTTAGCTCCAGGATATGATTATTCCTTGACCAACCTATTAATATCCGCAATTCCCGCCAAAACTCTCACGAGTGAGTCCAATTCCCGCCAAAACTTTTACGACTGAGTCAGTACAGGACTGAGTCCATGTACCGTCGCTTGCAGGATGAACGGTCGTTGATAAAAACATTGCCTATTCGCGTGAGAATCTTCGATGTTTGTCAAGAGCACTTGACAGGTTCTGATCTGATGTTAATCTGTTGAACAACCAGATCCAAGCTTTGAAGCCACCAAATGGTCATAAATAATCATCAAAAACATTGAAGTTTCTCGGTAAAAACATTGAACTTTGTCATAAGAATAGACAATACTTTACTGCGACCGTTCATCCTTAGTGCATTCAGTAAATGAGTCCGCCTTTTACAAATTCCAGCCCGCGATTTGTAAAACACGGACTCAGTCCGCGTTTTACAAATCTTAGTTCGCGATTTGTAAAACACGGACTCAGTCCGTGTTTTCCCGGTCCAGTCCAGTCCAGTCCGTGTTTTACAAATTCAGTCCACGATTTGTAAAACACGGACTCAGTCCGCGTTTTCCCGGTCCAGTCCAGTCCAGTCCGGTCCAGTCCAGTCCAGTCCAGTCCGTCTTTTACAACATGCCCGAGTTAGCATGCAAAACTAAATATATTTGCATTTCTAAGCAAGAAAACACAATATAGTGTTTTTCTGGAGATGCGCCTGCGAAAACATGTACGAGCATGTCAATCATAGAAATAATAGAAATAATGTCTATTATTTCTATGATGTCAATGGACCTTTAACCTTATAACTAAAATTTTGATCTAGACAAGTCACAAATTTCACCACAGCTTGAAAGAGCATCACAAAATTAGTAATATTCCGAAGTTTCGTTGCGAAATGTTGTAAAATGCGGATAATATAGCCCTGCGAAGTAAAATTTTTGTTTAGATCAAAATTTTAGTTATAAGGTTAAAGGTCCATTCATTGATCTTGCAGAGTGTGAAAAACTTTGGCCGCGCGGAATAAAACCGTGATTATTTCCAAAACGAGTTCGGTAAGGTATCCTGAAAATGTGTACATGAGTAGATACATACTTCAAAATTTCACGATGGAAAAATAAAAAAAAATTGTAGAAAGAAACTGTCAAAAAAGTCGAAATTTTATTCTAAAGAATTGAGTGGACAGATTTTTTTAAACTTCCCAGAAATGTTTCTCGACACTAACGTAACTGATTTATTAAAAAAAAATTGGGGTCACCGAACTAATTTTTGAAAAAAACTCGAAAAACTGCGATATTTTCGGCTATTTAGTGTTACCATTATTCGTTATAGTTGTCATGGAAACGCGACTTTTATCAGAATTCTTCTTGTTTGCGACACGTCTTACTATGTGTTACAATTATAAGTAAAACTTAACCCGGCATGTAAAAGCATTTAAACAGAAAATATTCAACTTTTGCTCCTTTGGCTAAAAAGTGTATTGACCTTAAATACATTGGATTACATATAATGTTTCTTGTCATTGAGAACGCATAAAATTGACTAAAATGATATTAGTATAGGAAATCACACTTGTTCTCTAAGTATTGTGAAAGTGTAATTTCCTATATATATTAGTGCCTATAGGTGGCTCCATCAAAAGGTCAAGGAGTGCTAACTAAAGATGATTGTGATAGACTATTGTGAACGTGAAGGTCGTTTCTTTAACTGATATGCACCACAACATTTTATGCCAACATAGTGCACCGTTATGGTCTGTTATTTAACTATAAATACATTCATGCAGAAACCCATCGCCTTGTTAAACGAATAACTATATTTTCCAAACACGAAGTATTCTAGGAGATTGTCATGGCTATAGTAATGTGCGTCTATTAATCATTAGAGAGTTTAAGCTTCGCGTTATACGTCAAACGGCAAACGCCAGGCAAAGAAAAATTTTACGGTATCAGGCAATAAAGAGTAAATGAACTTGCTGTTTTAAAACTGAAATACATACTGTTATTCTTTCGACGCAAGAAAGAAAATATGAAACGAAAACGTTCAACGAAACTTTTGCCAAGAAATTTCGAACCTGCCGTCTGCCGTTGTTTACATGTTGTTTACATGTAGCCGAGATATCAAGAAGTCTAATAAATATCAGAACATTATAATGGCAACACGGTCATTTTATTCTTTGACTTAGTCCTTTGGGTACCCTGGATTCCAGAGCCTTCGACAGTAAATAATAAATTGAAATGTCGCGAAGGCCAGGGTTCAACGGGGCGATTCTTTGATTAAACCGAGCCAATCACAAAACAGAATTAGTGGTCCACTAATTCTGTTTTGTGATTGGCTCGGTTTAATCAAAGAATCGCCCCGTTGAACCAGAGCCTTCGCGACATTCCAATTTATTATTTACTGTCGAAGGCTCTGGAATCCAGGGTATCCTTTGGGCAAAATTGTAAAAATAGTTTAAAATTCTTAACTTTTAAATATAAAATATTTATGGTCAGTATGTTATTATGCGCCTAATTCTTGTGTAAGTTTCATAACTTATTATAGTTTTATTATTTTATAAGAGATCAAAGTTATTTTCATGAGGGAATTGCATATTTTGAAACCATTTAATCACGAACAAGAATTTTATCGGTAAAAACCAGTTAACGTTAGTTGGAATTATGAACATTTCATAACTTTTTTAATGAAAAGTACATTAGATTGAAGCTGGTATTGCGGTGAATACGCTGTCTATCAGTTTATTTGCATACGTAACTTTTATTAAAGTGTAAAGTTTTTCCCTGCTCGTCCCATTAAACGATTTTTAGGGTTTCGTTTTTCAATCCACTACAGGCACTAGCTCTCCTTTTCCTGGGTGCATTAGTACGCTCGCGAGCTTGCTGGAATTGCACAGACATTTCAATTTCAACAATTAATTAGTAATCCAACGCGAATTACAGCTAATAGTAAAACCTAGTTAATAGATCTAGCATTCACCAATAAACCGGAATTGATAAATGGCTCGGGTGTCATTCATCTCAGGATAAGTGATCACAGCTTAATCTATAATTTATATACAGAGAAAAGTTTCCGTTCCCCGTAAAGAGCAAAAAGTGATTAAATCAAGAAATTTCAAACACTATAACTCAAACAAGTTTAATTAAATCAGACCTTTCCACATACTTATATGATCAAATATTCTGTGATACAATGATGTAATATTCTGTGTTGATACTGAAATACGCGAGCAATTCTACGTTAAACAACAGTGTGCTGTATTTCCGAGTTTCAGCTTGGAATACAGGGTGTTATCAAGAGACACAGAGTTCTAAAATGTCAACTAATCTGACAATTCCGCACCATACGTGGCAACTTTATGTTAGGGAAGCCTCACATATCGATTTTTTCCACGAGAAACGTCATATGTTCGTTTGGGGGTGGGGGGGGGGGGGGCTGTGACGTTTCTCTGTAAACATCATGGAAAAATCGATAGTTTTTATCTTTGCAGAGTATAAAAAAGAAAACAATTTGATACAAACAGCAGTCTATATATTCGTAATACCATACCTGTTCTATACCTATACATTTATATTATTACGCCTTCCTTGCATTGAAAACACTCAAATTTCAAGAAAAACGCACTAAAATTATCAATATTTCATGCAAAAAAGTTGTTTTGATAAACGTTGGAAATTTTGAAGTTCATATATATATATTCATAAAAAAAGAGTATGTCAGCAGAAGATGACATATTCCTCGCGGAAGCATCGCCAATAGCCGACCGAAAAAAAAATAGTAGAAAATTACCTTATGTGTACTCATAGTGTACTGTAAGAACAAAATATCGATAACTATGTGTGACGTTTCTATGGGGGGTGGGGGGGGGGGCTCCAGAGAAACGAACATATGACGTTTCTCATGGACAAATTCGATATGTGAGGCTTCCCTTAGTATGCATGGGTAGTTTGAGCTCTTCTGGTATCTCTATTCCCAAATTTAATTATTCTGAAATTTTCGAGTGCAGCAGGGCTATTTTCCAAAACCACTACGTTAATTTTTAAAGATGACTTGCGCACAAAACTGCAAGGTGGATGCAGGTATTTTATGAACTATCAAAGTACCAGACAATTTGATGTAAATTATTTTTGGTCCTACGCGCGACCGCTAAAACTTGGACTTTTTTGCCATAGTTGCCTTTCACACATAATTTATCACACGCACGACTGATTTTATACATGATTGATTTCTTACAAAAAAAGTTCTCTTTATAAATTCTCTTTATAAAAAGTTCAAAAATTAGGCGTGAAAGGCTAGCATGGGTGGCAAAAATGTCTACGTTTTAGAGATCGCGCGTTGGACTTAGTCTGCTCGCAGCCTGAAATTACAACCATAATACTTGTGCCTTTCGGACGAAGTTTTACGATGTCAAAAATCAACGGGACTGCTTGAAAGATCAAAGACTTTCTAAACGAAGTAGGCAAGTTCGCATACACGTGTTGCCCAGAAAAGCACGACTGCATGCAACGCCTCTATTTGGTCAAGATCAAAATTCCACTTAAATTAAACGTAGAAGATGCAATACATAAAGCAGTATCCCAACGATGATCAGGAATAATTTAATGAACAAGCCGATCATATATTATATATAACGTTTGATATATTGCTTATGTGGCCTAGCAATCACAGTTACTGAAATTTTCCCCCTTCTATATTTCAGCCTGCGAGCAGGCTATAGTTGGACTAAATGTACATCAAATCGTCTGTTACAGTTTAATAAAACAGTTCTTAAAACATCTTCTAAATTTGCACCCTACGAATTCAAGTTGCGTTTCAAACCTATACCAAGTGGTTTATGAAACAGCCTAGACTTGGTTCAAGTCCGTTTCAGGAGAAAAGTAGGGAGAGACTCATCGACGGACTTGGGACATTTGCAGCATTTCGAATGTTACTTGCAAAAATCGGCGCGAAAATTTGTTGTTGTTCTCAACTCGCAAGCCACGCCTCCGTAGGAAAAATCCGACGGTAAAATTTGGCGCGCTTGCAGGGTATCCAAGTCCGTCTCTCCCACTGGTCTCTCCCTACTTTTCTCTCATATTTTCGCGCCCTTTTTGACCGCTCGCGTGCATCACTATTTTCAACCCCTCGAGAGACGGACTTGAACCAAGTCCAGAAACAGCCCTGCTGCTTTTCAGAGTAATTTTTTGATAGAGATACCAGAAGTCTCCTACTAACGTGGCGACGTTTGTTAAAATGTTACATTAAAGTCCATTAAAACCCCGTATATGTCCGAGGTAGCAGGCTAAAGGAATGTGGTGATTATAAAATCGGCTAGATTAAGGTTTCTATCCAGCATCACTTTGGCACTGCCACTGGATTATGCGGATGGAACATATACACAATCAGACAACTTGAGCCTACATGCACGAAGGAAAAGGTAATGCCGACGGGAAGTTATACTGACTTAAAATGTATAATTGAAAAGAAAACATTTTAAAGAGAAGTTGAGGTCTTGTTTTATTGCAAGAGTCCTAGTCTGACCAGGTTAAAAGTGCCATTCCCTGCATGAACGTACAAAGATCCCATGGCTACGTAGAAGATGTGAAAATATTTGGATCATTTCAAACAGAACAAGGGCAATATCAAAACCTTCCCTGACACATAAATTATCTTCCCTTTTCCTGTTATATACATAATTAACCTCATTAAAATAGGACTATACCAGCTCATACAATAACCATAATTTTGCTTGACATCCTAAGTTATTTACACGCCCGGATATATCCTATTACCCTTTCTTATTACATTTTCAGAAACACGATACCTCCCAAAACAAAGAAAAATATAACTACAAATACAAAGTGAGATACAAAGGGAGCACGATCCATGAAATTGTGCAACAGTGAATACAAACAAATGTAAATAATGACCTTATACGTTCACAATAACAGAGGCAGTTAATTAAAATCATCTATTATCAACAGACTATTGCGTACGTACCTGACTATAAATTGCCTCTCCAACTGCAAGGACGATTTGATAATGCCGCTTGCATGTATGAAATCTCTCGGTTCTTTCAAAGGTCAAGTCTATGTCTGATCTCTTTGTTTCTATCACAATATATTGGCTTTGTTGCTAAATTGTGACGACAAACTTTGCATTATTATTCAGTAAACACACTAAGTCGGCCAATCCCACAAACACGCTCAGACGACAAAGTCCAAAAAATGAAATTCACAGGTACATGATGTACTCCTGCTGTGCCAGAACTTCGGAAAACCTCTACATGAAAGACTGCACGTCGATGAATTAGTTTATGCAGAGAATTTTGCCTGGGGAAAGAAGTAAAAATTAGCTGTTAAAAATTTGACTTGTGTCAGCAGTGTCTGTGGTAACAGGAATTTATATGTTCAGGCATGTTTATGTTTGCATCATCAAAATCAAAATGTTAGTCAATCAGTACAAACAAAATATTAGTTACAATATTTGGACTTTGAACTCCAAAAACTAAACTGACAATGGTTTCAAATCATGGTCATGAAAATTCTACCATCTCTTAGATCGCCTTGAAGTAATACGGCAATAACTAAATCACTGTATATCATTATTAAAAGAGATATCTGCACAATAGAAAATATTACAACTACATAATTATGAAATCAATATCAGAGCACAGATATGTTCTGGAATTCATCTCATGTTTTTACAGAAATATTTGCACAGTTACGACACAAATCTAGAATACTGCAAGAGTTTCACTATTTCACAATACTTGTAACTTGAGTTTTTCAATTTGTTATTGCTATTCAAGTTTTTAATGAACCATTGCCATTACCGTAAACTAGTCATTATATGGGGAAGGCGAGCACCGAACTAGCACATGCAAGGACTGACGAGAGAAAACATTTTAACGGCAAATCTTTAATTTTATCCCAAATTCCTGATTGCATAATCAGTTTGCAAGCTGCATGGTGTGTAGCCTGTGTGTGTGTGTAGTCCCAGACTCCCAGCATGCAGGCTACATGGTATGCATAGCAAGACGTCTGCAGTATCGCAACAGCAGACATCTCTGGCCTCCACTCTAGTTACTCCACTGGACGTCGAGATTCTTTGAAATAATAAACAACCAGTTTGCTTTTCGTTCACCAAACCGCCGGGACGGAAATCCAACTCCCAAGGCACGAGGTTGGTCCCATGGGAGGCACTCTCCTGTTTCAATTTACAAGATTTGTATAAAGGAGTATATATATAGAAGGTATTACACGGCGGCGCGAAGATATGACTTTTATCTTCGAGTGGTGAAAACAATATTTTACGAACGAGCGCAGCCACCGTGTAATGTTCTGTTTATTGTATAGTCCCATTGGAAAAAGTCACGTGATCGATATCTTCACTAGTGAAGATATGGAAAATATCTCACTGTGTATTTTTCAGTATCTCACTCTCTACTATATAATAAATAAAGTATTATATAAGTATACATAAACATATAATCTTGAATGGTCTGTGCCAGTGAGTAGCTAGTGCCAATAATAAGAAAGCTTCGGATTTATAGGGATGCAAGCACCTGAAAAATCGCCAGGAAGTGAGTTAGATGAAGGGCCGTCGCTCAAAACGTCGAAGTTCTCCTTTTCAGGTATCATAGTTGCATCCCTACCAATCCGAAGCTTTCTTAATAAACATATAATACCACTTGCCTAGCTCCACCATTCACTGACTGTCACTACGAATCAATATTACAGCTTTCTATTGCACAGCACGTAAAAACCGAGAAAATAATACACAATTATAAGATGAGGCTGAACATGATACTGATCTCATACCCAGAGCCATCAACGATGGCTCTGGGTATAAGATTGGCTAGTTGACAATTTCTAGTTGACAAAAATTCAACTCGTACTCAGGGCTTCTGCGCTTGTGGCTCGAATCATCCTCGTTCTCAGGCAGCTGTGAAGTCCTGGGAACGAGGATCTTGGCTCAAATCAATTCAATGTTTGGGTAAATATCCAATTTCGAAACCCGAGCCTGCAATCCTCTGTGGAGGCTTGCTGAGGCTCTGGGAAACACCGGCGACTTTTGCACGAAAATCAGTACATTTGGATCCAGTACTCCGCTCGACATTTATAAATAGACATTACTGCCGTCAAACATGAATTATGCCGTTGTTTAAGCTTATTACGACTTTAATTATTCAAAGAACACTTGCCATGGTTTTGAATTGTTGTAAGATACTGGTAGTGATTTATTTTAACTTGTTTAATTACGGTAAATCATGGATTGTTGTGTTACTTTAAATATTATAGGCAACGGTTTATCATGACCTTATATGGTAATGCTGCACTGTTGTTATTATACATCTTTTAATTGGCATATCAATATCAGAATAGTCTATTGATTTCATATGAGAAGAATAAGTTTATTAAAGTTTATTGATATGTTTAAACATAATACACAAAGAGAAATAAACTTTATATTAATTAAACGATGTTTGAATCACTAAATAGACCCACTGTCACCCACAGTTTGAATAATAATTAGCACTTGAAAAACAACCAATCAGAGCCCGACTTTCGCTGGTGTTTCCCAGAGCCTCAGCAAGCCTCCACAGAGGATTGCAGGCTTTGGTTTCGAGATTGGTAACTATCAGGAATTTTGGTCATTTCACCCGATACAACTGATTGTTGAAGGATTTTGTAGATGGAAATTTCGAGTGGAATATTTATACATTTATTAGATCTAACCAGAAGCGATTGTTAGAAATGAAACTATAGTGTGAGAAATAAACTATACTATCGAATTAAACTCTCGTAATGCCTCTAGCCACAAAACTATATCCAATATCAAAGTGGGTGAAGAAACTATATATACACCCAAGGAAATAGCGGAGACATTTAATTCTCACTTTGCTAGTGTGGGTGAAAATTTAGCATCCGATATACCACCCTCTACCGTAGAACCCGACGTATATGTTGTGCCTGCTGAACCACATTTTCAATGAAATCTCTCACTGTATATGCAGTTTACAAAAAACTAAAAGCAATTAACGAAAGGAAAGCAGCAGATCTTGATAAAATACCTTGCAAACATTTAAGAATTGCAGCTGAAATAGTTGCCCCATCGTTAACTCAAATATTTAATAAGACTATAAGTACAAGCGTCTTTCCTACAGATTGGAAGCTAGCGAGAGTTACTCCAATTTTTAAGAAAGGTAAAAAAGACGACATGAACAACTATCGACCAATATCTGTTATTTCTGTAGTAGCAAAGATTTTTGAAAAGTTTACTTTTGAGCAGTTGTATGAGTATCTGAACAACAACAATCTAATATTTGCGTCTCAATCTGGATTTCGATCATTGCACAGTACACTAACTGCCCTAATAGAAGCCACGGATAATTGGTCAATAAATATAGATAAAGGCCTTCTTAACGGAGTAATTTTTATCGATCTTAAAAAAGCATTTGATACTATTGATCACACCATTCTTTTACGGAAGTTACGAATTTATGGCGTTGATGAAAATGGTATCAAATTCTTCGAATCATACATAAGCAACCGCAGTCAAAGATGTTGCGTCAATGGTGAGTTATCTGAAACTGCTAAAATAACCTGTGGGGTACCACAAGGCAGTAACTTGGGACCTCTATTGTTCCTTAATATACATAATGATTTGCCTAATTGTCTCGACAGAGCCTCTCCAAGAATGTTTGCTGACGACACTAACATAGCATCGTAGCAAATTCCGTCACGGAGCTTGAGCAAATAATAAACTCTGAATTGAAAAATCTTCATCAATGGCTACTAGCTAATACTGTAATAGACTGAGTCTTAACGTAGCTAAAACGGAATTCATGATGATAGGATCTCGTTAAAGATTACTAGTACATGATAACGAACACATAAGGATAGAAAACGACGGAAAGGCGATTAAGAGAGTTAACGAAACGAAATCCTTATTGCTTGCAAATCGATGAGCATCTTACATGGGCACGACATGTCGAAAATATTTCCAAAAAGATTGCATCAGCTATTGGAGCTCTTAAACGGGTACGCCAATTTATAGATACAAGCACTGCTCTGAAAATTTATGGAGCACTAATTCAACCGCACTTTGATTATTGTAGCTCAGTTTGGGATGGTTTGAATATCACGTTAAATGACAAATTGCAAAAATTGCAAAATAGGGCAGCGAGGGTCATCACTAAATCTCAATGATGCTAGTCCAGCGACCTTTTTAGTAAGCTGGGCTGGGATAATCTTTTAACTGACACGTCGGAAAAAGCATAAGGCTATACTAATGTTTAAAACAATTAACGATCTAACCCCGTTTTATCTCTATGAATTGTTTGAATCTGGCAGCACAGAATATAATTTAAGAAACTCTGGACACAACTTATTTGTACCAAAAGCAAGAACAAACTACGGTAAGCGAAGTTTTAGTTATAACGGGGCAGTTTTATGGAACGAGTTACCACAAAATGTACGAACAACATGCTCCATAAGCAAGGCTGGGTTGACTACAAAATTTTTGTAGTTCGCTATAACTACAGCTACTTCAAAAATATGTAGTCAGCTACAACTATACTGCTACTTTTGAACAAAAGTAGTTCGCTACTGACTACAGCTACTGCTTAAAATATGTAGCGAACTATTTCGCTATTTCGCTACTCTATATTTTTTAGTTTTACGGTATTTGGAGCATCCACTAGCTCAGGCTGTAATATAACCTATAACAAATCGACTTACGAGTAGCAACAGTAAACAAAAAGGGTCAAAGCAACATTTTTGTAAGCACTACAGTGTTCAGGAGTGTCACTTTTCATTGCGCTAAAATAATCTTTACTGTATAAAATAATCTTTTAAGCAAACCGTGTCTTAATATCATTCTATTCTATGAACGGTTGCTAACAATTTTAAAAAGTAGCGAATAGCGATTCGCTGTTTGAAAAGTAGTCAACTATTTGGCTACTTTTAGGCAAAATGTAGTTCGCAATAACTACAACTACTGTTTTAAAAAAGTAGTCAAAAACTACTGGCTACTTGAAAATTGTAGTTCGCTACAGTAGCGAACTACAACTACTTCGCTACTATCCACCCTTGTCCATAAGTCAATTCAAAAGAGCAATTGACAATCTGTTCTCTATGTGAGATGGACTCCCGCACGGCAATCTTGTAAATCAGTATTTTAGTGTTTGGATAAGTTTAAAGTGTATATTAATTGTCATAGCGTAATTGTAATTAGATGTTTAGTTAATTATCTTGTAAAATGTTATACTGTAGATTTCACCGTGTTAAAATAAAGTTTTTGATTGATTGATTGATTGATTGATTGATTGATTGATAGGCCCTCTGGCAGGAAACAAACAATAAAAATTCCAATTTACGAGCAAACGGAGGGAGAAATATATGGGAAAACAAATGGCATGGTGGGCAAGAGCCAAGGTATAGCAAGCCATACCATTTCTTCCCCATATATTTCGACCGAAGTTTGTGAAGTATAATTGCACTCGAAATTCGGACCGAGGTCAACACCAGGTCTCGGCACTTCCACATCATATGAATTGCTCAGATTCTGAGTAAAAATTCCTTAGACGAAGAGATCCTTATAAGGCTATAGAGATGTTTAGCATTACAAATTTGGTGATGGCTGGCTTTTTGAGCTATAATATGACAAGAAAAATACGTTTGTTTTATATCCAAGTTTGTTTGAAAATTGACCAAAAATAATGGTGTCTGATTATTAAGTAACTGAGTGGCATCAGTGACGCTGTATATTGGGGATTAGCCGTTAGGGTATCTTCCCCTAAAAATGTTTGACGTTTTGAATGATTCGGACTGCATCTTCGAAAGGTGTTCTTGGGTAAATAACTGCTCAATCTATTTTATAAGTGCACTAAATGTGAAATATATCTCATTACAAAATCAACAAAAAATGAACCTCACACGAACATATTCAGTCTGCGATAAAAAGCGGTTATTAACTAATACATACATAACACAAGTAAATTAAAACGTATTTATCCATTATTAAACTCCGAGAACAGTGATTATAGTGTTTATGGACTGTCGAGTGCTTTTGCATTTACAACACCCCCACTCACTCAACATGTCACTATGTCTTAGCCTGCGTGCAGCCCTAACTTTAGTACTTTACTATGTCTACACAAATCCCAGTTTGCGTCGGAGATATTCAAGTTGTCCTCTTGGTTGTCCTCTAGGTAATGGAATATTATCGGCTACCATTTCATTGGTTGTACAGTGCTTCTTCAGCTAAATTGTCCCATCTTGAGTTTTCTCCCACACGAAATGATATTTGATATGAATGTGCTTCGTTCGCTTGTACCACAGGATTCCTTGACAGAGCGATAGTTCCTTGATTATCGCCGTATATGGTCATGGCTCTGGAACTCTCTCCTCCGCAGAGGCTTTAGTTTTCTTAGGATTTAATATTACGATGAGATACATTTCACTACACTTTACATGGCGGATCTTGGAACACGAGCGTAGGCTCTGGAACAATCTACTCGTAGATCTTTTCATTAATTGTCGCAACCACATTGCCTCTTGGGTTGCTAAACAGACTAGTTGCAATGTATATTAGATTCCGATGTTGAAAGAGTCATTGTTGGCTATTTCTTGCTTGCCTAACTGATAGCACTGCTCGGCATCATGAAAACGTTGCCACAGGGGTTGATCGTCGATTATCTGAGCCAGAGTCCGAACCTGCGGCAGAGTTCCGCCCTATACTGAGTATCAGTCACTTGGTACTGGAAGTGCAACTGAGCAGTCCCTTAAATCGCGCTTGACAGCTGTTAGATGCGCCACTGCGTATATATTAGACTCCCTACTTTTGACTGGTACTATACGGCATCCACTGGTTTGCTGTAACCATCGTTAAATCGTTTCTCACTAATTTGACACGGTTTCACAGTCTTGTAATTTGTACTTCCGCTAAATCTTGTCGATATACTGCTCTTGACTGATTTGTAATGCACCCGTTGCACCGTCCTTCAGAGTAATATTAACTCCTAGTTTACCGATCTTCTTCATTTTGAAATGGTTTTCCCAGGCTAGTCTTGACACTTATCATGTCTTCTTCAGTTTTGGTTAGAAGTATAAGGTCATCAACATGAACAGCAACAATCGTCAACATGAGAAACATCAAACCAATGGGAAGTTTAATCATTGTCAATTCCGTATCTCAGCCATAAGACCTTTGAATCTTTCTATATCTTTCCTGTTTCATCGTGTTTGACCCTTTAAAGACCCACTTATAACTGACAGCTTTACGTCCAGCTGGCATGGAGAATGAGACTTGGAAGTTTGTTGAAGTCAGAGATTGGTATTCCGTACTCGGCATCTGCAGACTGCAGCTGGTTTCCACGGATCATGCATATCGAGAACTCCTTCAATGTTACTGTATGCTTCACTGTGGTGATTCCAGCGTACTCGTCGTGGTGGTACATTGGTGGATTTTTCTCTCTTCCTAAGCGTCTAGGACCTGGTGAGAGATCCTCCTGTTCATTCACAATCCTCGACGCATCTTCATCCTTCATTTCCGTTTTTGTCAAGGGCATGTATTCATTTGAACTTTTACACGGCTAAAGTCAGTTTGATTGAAGGTTACATTTCGTCGGTTCTCATCGTGTGTATCTTTTCTGCGTAAGGCTGTCTTCACAAGATCCGGATTTATACTCGTAACAAGGAGAGCTTTTGTTTTGTCTTCTTTTGAGCTTTTCGGAAAGCTGCTTGAGCCGTTGAAATGCTGTTTGATACAACTGGGCTGGTTGCCGATCCATCAACGTCAGACCCCACAACTCTCTAGCCTCCAGATTTCCGGTATAGCTTCCGTTTTATAATTCCAAATTTTGTCGATAAATATCTTGTCTTTTTGAGCCATTATGAACGTTTTAATCCAACAGAAGTTTCCTTGATTGATAAGCTGTAGTTCAGAGGGTGTCTGGGCCCATAACCTGCTCAATTTATGTTATATTGTCAGCATAAAAACTTCTTCGAAATGAAAAATACATCTCTTTACAAAAACAACAAAAAATGAAGGTCACACGAGCAGGCATTGAGCCCGCGATAAGTTTGAGGGACAAAACGAGACATGAAACAGGGAGTTCACCAGGTGTAGCCGTTGTTCTTAATATATTAAGGTGGTTCAGGCTACATGCCATTTTTTAAAAATGGAAAATTTACCATTTAGATCCGTATTTTTTAAAAATTATTACAAAGAGTGAAGTAAGACTGATACATAAAACAATATTTGAACGGCGAAAATAGTATAGACGCTTTGCGGATCTTAAAAGAAAATTCTTAGCGAGAGTTACTACTTGCATAAATTTCTGTTTGTTCCATTTAATATCAGGCAGACTTGGAAAAAAAGTGGGAATTAGGAACATTTTCAATTTTTCATACATATGCATCCCTCATTCGATATTGACGTGTGATCTTAATTCTAGGGGCAAGTTTTGACAAGGAAAATCCTTTGTCAAATTCATCTAACATGGCGGCGATGCTGTACAGTGAGAACCACGCGTGCATATATATAACGGTCAGTATGGTCAAAAGATCCATTATTTTAAGGATTACTTTTGAGGAAGATTCGATAAAGCCATAAAGGCAAATCAGTATCCAAAGAAATTAATTTTCTTCTTCATCTCCTAATTTACTTCCTTTCATGAAATATGACAAACGTTAGATTTTGCCGTGTGATTTAAACCATAAGAAGTTGCAAGGAAAGTAAAAATACCATCTTATTCTGTAGTTGAATCAGAGCCTGCATGTCATGTATTTCCCACAGATACAATTAATAAATCGGATCGTTCTAAGCCTCTATATATAGATTACTAATTTGTACTGACATTCATTAAATGTAATATAGTCGGCAAAATGTATGTAAATATTAAATCATTAAAGACGAACGTTTGTAAGATGACATAAAATTGAAAAGTTAATTAAAAATATATATCTACTTCGCAAAGCTTTCGATTGTAAGCCCGGATCCACGTCAGTTCAAATGCAAAACAAAGACAAATTATATGTTCCTTGCAGGTTTGCATGGCGATAAGTATAATTGATTTGTTTTGGAGAAAACAAGATATTTATTTACTCAACAAAACTTTCGATCCGAAGTGCAGATCTACATGAGTGCAAAATTAATCATGATTGTTCGAACTAGTAATTATTAATTACATGCACTCATGAAGATCCGGGCTTACGGATCGAAAGCTTTGGCGAATATAATCGTGAATATACCAACAAAACAATTGAAAAAAAATAATTAAAATTATGCACTTCCTCAAATTTCAAAGATGAGGTCACATGTAGAGTACATCTACTACTACAGCACACACCAGTGTACTCCTACAAGTGGTACAACTATAGTTAAAAACACAAGTGCGTTGCATTGTAACTCTTTCCGTATAAACAGTCACAAGTGTTGGTAATAATTCGCAAATGACTTGGTTCATTTCACAAAATTTGAACATCTAATCATCGTCGACATGTACATGTATATTAAATACACCACGTACAAACATTACATAAAAAGATAATGAGACTCATAATAAACTGAAAATCTTTATTACAAATATCTTTAATATATGTTATAAAGTGTCAATAAAGATAAATAATTAAAATCCATGATATAAAAGCGTCTGCATGTCAAAAGGTTTAATACACTCAGTAAGGTTTTCAAATAGCGACAAGAACACTTTTAAAACATGGCATCGCAAGAAGAGATTATTTGTTTACAGATTCATTTATATGGTCAACTTTTTATCTACTTTTGTGGAGTAATCGCGCATTTATTACTTCTATATGCTTTTGTAAAAGATCCTTTAAAATGTTTCAAAAATATACGAACATGTTTTGTGATTAATCTCGCAATTGCCGAATTTCTGTATTGTTTAGTCACACCAATTCAGATATACATTCAATTAGGCTGGTACTTGGATTTCGTGCTTTTGTCTCTTGGAAACTTGGCCTTACTGACAGTTCTGTCCATTGCATTTGATCGCCTTTTAATGATTGTGTATCCTCTTAAACACCGTTACTGGATAAGAGGGAAGATGATAGCGATATGGTTGACATGCCTTTGGCTTGTAAGTTTTGCCTATACCTCAAAGCGATATATATTTGGAGTGGAGCAAAACTATGAAGACCTAGTGTATGGCAGTTTGACTACATCACTACTTCTTATAACGTCGACCGCATATGCTTCAGTTTATATCGCTTTGAAAGAACAGTCGAGAAACATAACTGAACAAAATGAGTCCGTGACGAATGGAAATCGCGCTGAACAGCTACGTCTGTTAAAGGAAAAGAGATTTTTGAAAACAATTGTTTTCATCGCTGGTATGACCGTTGCTGGTTTTGTTCCATCATGGATTTTAAAAATTGCACTCATCAACAATATACTGCCAGGGGATAGTCTGGTATGGATTATCCTATATTTCATTATATTTTCCTTTGTGAGAGCTACTGAGTTTGCAATTAATCCACTCATTTATATTCTTCGTTTTCCAAACTACCGAAAAACCTTTCAAATACTGTATTGTCGGAGACAATTTTAAGCTAATATATTTTAAATTATAATTATACAGTACATATACAGGGTGTATTGAAAAAGTAGGCAATTGATTGTAAAATGGCCACACAATTAAAAATGCATGTCCGCACCTTTGTGTGAAAATTGGTGAGCATGCATACATGTATGCAAATACCAAAAAAAAATTCGCGCACAGAAAAAATCCAGAAAAAAAATATTGTACACAACAAGCCTATATTGAAAAAAAAATCGCAAAAAAAGTATCGTGCAAAGGAATGTTGCAGAAAAAAAATTCTTGCAAGCAATTGGGGGATGAAAAAAAAAATCGTGCACAGAATTGCCCCCCCAAATATCTAATGGTCTGTCCCTTATTTGGCGTTAAATATTGCGTATATATGCAGATTAAATTTCCCCATGCTAATAAAGACTAGGCCTTTAGCTATCGAACGGGACCTTTTTTGTATCTGCCGGATTGCGTTAAAAACTGGCCAAACACGACCGATTTTTTCGCCATTGCATGATAATTGCAAACGTATTTTCCGAGTGTTGAAATTATTCTGTAAAAGAACAGTCAAAATAATAACAAGGAACAGCTGTTTAGGCTTTAGCTGTTAGAAGAATAATAAAATACATAAAAATATAACTCGACTGTGATTGGTTGATTTCAGTGCAGTTAATCCCAAACAGCAGTGCAATTTTCTGTAATCACAGTGCACTTTTTTATAATCACAGTGCAATTTTCTGTAATCACAGTCTGTAACAAACTGATCTGATTGGTGGAAAAACAATGTGATGATAAAATCAACCAATCAAACATGGCGCCGCGCTACAAAAAGTAAAAGTTGACTTCGGTTGGAAAATATGGCTTTTATCTTTTTTTTAAACGGAAAAGCCTTTATCTTAAACGAGACTAACGAAACTTACACTGTTGAGTGGAATTTTCAAGCTGTTAGTGTTGTATAATGTGATATAACAAAGGCAGGAAAACTTTGCCAGTGGAATGTTCGCTGTAAACGCATTAGTTAAAACTACAATTGTGCTCACTCGTGCACGTTATATCCAAATTGCACTCGAAACCATGCTATTACCTTGGCAATAGGCAATTCCAGTTTTTAGTTTATGCCTGTAGGGGATGATGGGAAGTAAGGTATCACATTGCTGATTATGCTGAAAAATTTCCATAAAAACTGCCGAAACAACCGAAATATTTCAATATTTACAAGTATAAGCTATCACTCCGTGTTTACACGGCCACCATTTTTATTTTTTCAGCATAATCAGCAATGTGATACCTTACTTATAAACTAAAAGCTGGAATTTCCTGTTAAATTTAAAGATGATTTGACTCGCGATTACACAACGAAATTTTGTGGATAAAACAATAAATTTTTTTGTTAAGAAGTACCACTTGCGGTCCTGAAATCCAGGGTTCTTCTCATGGACCCTCTACCGTATTGAAGATGGGAATTAAGATTTAAGCCCAGATCAAACGAGGATGCATGAGAGTGCATAAGAGTATAAGAGGGTCATTGAAGTTAACACATAGTTGGAACACTCATCAAACTTGTATTTTGTTAATCTAGAACTTGAAATGTCCCTTGTAACAACTCTTGATTGGCAACTCTCATCCTTTTTGACTGGGGCTTTAATATCCCAAACGTGCGTAGCTATATATATATATATATATATATATATATATATATATATATATATATATATATATATATATATATATATATATATATATATATATATATATATATATATATACACGCACATAACAATGCAATTTTCATATTCGTAAGAATAATATTCAAAACATAACATATTCAATAAAACATATTCGTAAGAATAATTAAATCAATATGCCAGTATATACACACTGGAATATGGTCACATTTCAGTGAGTCAGAAATACTATACAATCTATTTGTTTGGACTGGAAATTTTAGGTTTACACAATGTCATTCTTCGGAATATATCTTGTTTCTGCATGTTTAGTTTAGCATGTGGTTTCTGCCAATGTTGACGTGGTAATGAGAGATGATACAATCATCATTATATCGACATTGCTAACTTATTCTAGAAGGTAAACTATCTCAAGTTGCCTTGCAACATATGAGGTCTGCTATCCGCCACAATACCTCACTTTTCCAGCGGTTTCTTTCCGACCCACAGCAAAGTCTCTTCACGCAAAATGAATTCCATTTGAATTAAACACTTGTAGTAATCTACGAAAAAGACAGGTGTCTTCATGCCATGTAAATGAAGGAGTCTCCTGGATACTATAGCCATAGTATAATGCAAAAACCATAGGGAGTCACTTTACAAAGACGGATTTTAAAGATTCTTCTCAGTCTTATTCGTTTGCCAGAAAAAAACAATATAAAGGCCTGCTGCATGCTATCGCTCATTGATGGCGCGTCAGCCCATCGTAGGCCCTTCGTAGGCCCTGGGGACGAGGTTGCTCAGTTTGTTCAATATGCGAGTTCAACTCCCGCTTGAGCCAATTTTATGTTGAAAGAGCAGTGTTGGGTTTTTCTCACCGTGAATAAGGGTCTAAGAAGTTTCATTTTAAGGGGTTGTGTAAAGAGAATGTGATATTGACTACAAAATTTACAATCAAAAATTATAAATACAATTTAATAACTCACCCAAGAAAATCATCTATATCCATAGTTCGTGCTCTTTTCTTACCATAATCATTTTCGGTTAAAATTTCCTGAATTTTCTGTTTCACATCAAAATGATCGTCTAATAACTAAAACATAGTAAAATATATAGGTACAGACATTCACAAAGTATTATACAGTAACATTACAAATAGGCGTAAAGATAAAGTGACGTATCTTTAACGATACTCAATATTTTCATACAGTATTGCAACAATACAAATATGTTTCTCAAAACTTACTATTTCGTTCAGCGAACAATGAATTCTGTAATTCTTTTCTATCAGTTCTAATACAGCCTTTGAACTAGAATAAGATAATGATAGCCAATAGAATAGAGCGTTTTAATTACATGCACAAAACCATAGCATGCAATAATATACAACAGCAATATTCATAAAGCAAAATACAATTTATACGTATTGTGCAGCATAAGTGCATGCTCACCCCAAGTGAGCTCTGTATGACTGGGTAATTTTTAAAATCTACTGACTGTACAGCGGACCCTAAAAGCACAATAATAAAAATACGAACCTGAAACAGGAAGCCAAAGTTTTATTTTTTCTTACGAAAGCTATTCTGACAAGACCATCCCATTCCTAAAATTTGACATCACATTATCATAACATTAGCTTAAGGTCGAAATGCGTGACATGCATTCAATAAATTATAGAGATATATTAAATTTGCCGTCTTCTAAATGGTTGCTGCATGGTGCTACACTGGCGCGTTGATTCGCGCATGTACATTTCGCATCCTGATCTAATATTAGATTGCATTGATATTGAAAGAACTAGACTAAGTTCCGAAATAATCATACTCGAACCGACCTGACCGCGTAGCTCAGTTGGCAGAGCATTGGGCTAGTATTCCAAAGGTCGTAGGTTCGATTCCCACCGTGGTCAGGCATATTTTTAAGCTTGCCCGGTGTGGATATACACTCAGAGTAACATCACAAACATCATACATATATTCACCTGAGTACATTACACCAACACAGAAAATTGAGGATTATTAGATTGCATTGATATCGAAGGAACTAGACTCAGTTCCGAAATATCACATACTCGAACCGACCTGACCGCGTAGCTCAGTTGGCAGAGCATTGGGCTAGTATTCCAAAGGTCGTAGGTTCGATTCCCACCGTGGCCGGGCATATTTTTCAAGCTCGCCCGGTGTGGATATACACTCAGAGTAACATCACAAACATCGGATGTTTATACATGCTGCCGGATATCTGGACCCAGCACATCCTTGAAGAACAATTTACAGCTGATAGAACTAAAGGTGCTCTTATCGGACTTCTATAGGAAAGTTCACTAGAACTGATAGAAAACTAGTTATGCAGTATTAATAAAGTTACCTGAAAGTTGATAGGTGGAGGTGGATTTCTTGGTTCAATTCTGACAACACTTGATTCAACTTTTGGTGGAGGCCGGAAATTATTTTTACCAACCTAGATATTGAATTTAAAGTAATCAGTTAGACTTGCCAGAAGTCGACCACGGGGGAGGGAGCGCGCGACCCGAGCGACGACTGGTTTTGACCACGTAGCTCAGTTGGCAGAGCATTGGACTAGTATCCCAAAGGTCGCGGGTTCGATTCCCACAGTGGCCAAGCTAACGTTTCAGCTTGCCCGGTGTGGATATACACTCAGAGTAACATCACAAACATCATGTAAAAACTTATTGAATCTGGACAGTTGTTTGTCTAACAATGTGTGCCGTAATTGTGTCGACAAGAATAGTAATTAATTAATTATTAAAACCTGGTTCACATTGGTCGTAATTCATCGGCGATCTATTGTATTCTTTTCCGACAGACAAAGCATTTTACACACCAATGACCAGAGACAATGGAAATCCCAGATTCTTACGACCAGTGTGAACCAGGCATAAAGAAAGTTGATTAAGTTCGCGAGCGATTTAACGTAGTAGAAATTAATATAATTGAAAAGAATCAGACAACTGTAACCAAGAAGCAGAGAGGAGGCGATTGTGATCAACGAGAAGACGTCGCTAGAGTTCAAAATCCAGTAAATCCTATACGCGTTGTTTTCTCAACGAACGAATTTGTAGTAATCAGTAATCGAGATCAAGAAACCCAAACTAAACCCTAAACTACTGAGGAAATTTTATCAGATGCATCTTCGGTGTCCGGTGACAGTATTAAAGTTTATTTCTACACCCTGTACTTTATACTCAATGTAATGTTTGTTTGTGTATTTTCACATGGTTTTGTGTTCTACAAAACTGTATTTACATTGTTTACTCTGTTTGCTTCAATAATACACATTTGTTCAACAAAAATGCCTGAGAATTTTAGACTCCTTCGATAATGACCAATAATGTAAACCGCTTCGGCCTTCAATGTGAACAATGACGTCACCGGTGGATTTTTCCACCGGTGATATTTGTCGCGCTGCAAGTGACAAAAGTCCTTTCCACAACGGAAGTGAAGCGCGGTAGGGATAGTTGCATGAAATTCGGCAAGAAAGATTTAACTGGAAATTTGCAGCAAAAAGGGTCTGAATATTTGGCAACCTTAGCATAGCCTGTAGGATCTGAATTTTTTAACTGAAGCAACTATCTTCATTAAATATATTTAAATACTTTGCGAAAGTGTGTACTCTATCTAAAATACGCCAGCATGAACTGCATCAACGATTTGAAAATAACATACCTTCATTAAATGATCGACCCTCGCCAACAGTTGTGTATTAATAGACAATCTACAATATAATTTATCTCCCGGTTTCGCCACCAATCTCTGAGCAAACTCCCTTTGAAACATCAGAACAGCACATCTGAAACAATATTATAGAGCTTTGAAACATCGAAACAGCACATGTAGAAATATTCATTAAAACAATGAGGGCAATTGAGTCACGTCATGTGCACGCCGAAAAAGCTAGAGCGCATGTTCAAGTTGGTTCACTTCATCCTGCTAGATTATAAAGGCCTGTTTAAACGGATCCAACATTGTTGGACCAACATCATCCAACAATGTTACTATACTAGATATGACTGCTTCTCTTTCAAATCTTTTTGGTTAGATAAGCTTTACTCAAACCCTAAATCTAGTCTTGACAAAATATTTGAAAAAGAAGCCGTTTGAGCCATTATTTCAACAATGTTGGATGATGTTGGCCCAACAATGTTGGATCCGTTTAAACAGGGCTTAAGAAACGGCTTTAAAGCATCAGTCAGTGATTTACCAGGTGGCATAGAAATTCGTGTAATGAACATTACAGTTTATTATAAAGTTCTAAACAGAAGCCACTTTATATAAAAAATGAACTTGTTGTTTATCGTTTGGTTGTTAACTTAAAAGTTGTACTACTTTCTACAATACCGATTAAAATATAATATACATGTATGCTGGGCTTGAGTATTCATCGCAGCATATCGAAAACTGTATATTCACCTGAAAAATGGTCTGTGTAGAAGTAGTTTAAAAACAAACGGCGATGAAATCTAAAAAATAGAGAAATTCAGTTTACTTAATCTACACCATCCACCGTAAGCATTCAGACTTGGGAAAAGTGTTCAATGTTTCCCGGATCTGGAATTTACCTTTTTCAAATCTTCCTCAAAAGTGCGTAAAAGCAATGGAAAATTTGACCGCATTAAGCCATATAAGGAAGTGCTGTATGATACTAATTGTATGCGCCAAATGACAGGATTCTCCCTTAACGTATGTGCGAAAAATTGAAAATGTTCTTGAATCTTCTTGCTAAGACAAATGCTTCTCCGGACCGACAGGACCCAGGATCCCGAGGTCCCACTTTTTTCCTGGTCTGGAAACATAATTTCTCTGTATGAAATGGACTAATTGAGATACTCTATACTGTAAAAGAAACGCTTCCACTCATTTAATACTGAAGAACTGTTAGGACTGGTCATGTCAGAACAATTGAACACTAACAATAAAGAACGTACTTGATACGGAAGATTAGCAACGCAAACATCAAAATACGGAAGATCTGCTTTGAGAACATCTCCAACAATCACTTGAAGTTTCGAGGCATATGGCCTAAAATTATAAATTAAGATAAATATTGTGCGCAGCACCTTTAAATACACTTCACTCTAAGAACATTACACGCTCTTCATTCCTTTAATTTTTACGTGAATATTGCTTGTTGTCCTCGTTATAGTGCATGTAGCTACTGTAGGAATAGTAAGTTAGGATGTCCAAAATTCATGGTGGAAAATTAACTTCTGAATGTTCCGACATGCAGAGACCCTAAATTCTGTTTCTGGTTTGGACAATCAGAAATTAACTTTTAGTAGGTGATTTGACTCCATTCCGACACCCCAAATTGCAAATGTATTCCTCAACAAATCATTGCCAATTTTACTGCATATCTACATTGATGCTTGTGATGTTACTCTGGGTGTATATCCACACCGGGCAAGCTTGAAAAATATGCCTGACCACCGTGGTCAGGCATATTTTTCAAGCTTGCCCGGTGTGGATATACACCCAGAGTAACATCACAAGCATCATATTCACCTGAGTACATTACACCAACACAGAAAAAATATCTACATTGCTTAGTTAAAATATCTTGAATACAAAAGGAAAACATATCAACTCACATTCCTTGCACTCTCTTCTTCAATTCTGCGACCAATCTGGGGTCAACTTCACATGCAATTACCTGGTAAGATTGTAAGAAACACCAAAACCATTTACTGTCGTTCCAATTGAAGTGTTGCTCAAATATTGATTCAATACATTACCTCGGGCTGACCAATTCATTTCATCAAGTTCCTCGAGATATTCATACACTTCCTAGTATAATTGTAAACTTCCTGTTGAATAGTTTGAATGCACCAATCACCTTTGTTGTTTGTGCAACTAACCGATCATAAATAGAAAGGAAGTGACCAGAAATGATCAAATACTTGGAATTGGCTCTTTCACAGGAAGTGTATGAATATCTCGAGGAACTTGATCAAATGAATTGGTCAGCCCGAGGTAATGTATTGAATCAATATTTAAGCAACACTTCAATTGGAACGACAGTAAGAGATATTGCAAAATTACTCTTTAAGTCTTAACTTCACATTATATCTCGGGTATATACAGTCGTACGGAATTAGTATCCAGTGTAGAGCTTACCCCTGGAACATTTTCCTGCACTACAAAATTTAACAAAACACAGAAAATATTTGCCCGGAAGAGAAAATATCTCCACTACAAAGTGGATAGTATGACAAAGGGGAAACTTTTGCCGAATTCCTTTAATTATTGGCGAATATAAACTATACATCGGATTTCAAATCCTATAGTCGTGAGTTCCACTCCGAGATGAAGATAAGGATTGGGGCGGATTGCAAGAGTTTAAATCTATTCCAGTCCTTTTCCAGTCCCAATTCCACGTTTTGAGAACTGATACCACCGATTCACGTTACTTTGGGTTCATCCTGGATGTTAAAATAGCATCTTTGCGTCATGGTTCAAAATAAAACCCAATCTGCTTGTTTATATGCGTTCCTTTAGTTTGACCATTTCATTGCAACATTGACCGTCAGGCCTTCGCTCGAAATGTCAAAGTTTTGTATTTTTCAGGTAGCTATATATTCTTTCACAGCACAGCTAAGATGCACTATACGTCTAAGATTCCAGCACTATATGACGGACTATGCTGGTATACTACCCTCACTTTAAGAGGTTTCCTGTTCAGCTCACTGCAAAAAGTCCCTGAGTATTTGGCCCAAAAACTGGAGTAAAATAATGCACTTACAGAGTTACAGTGACTCAAAATGTCGAGTAAAATTACTCAAATTTATGAGCAAAGATTCAGATTTTCTCAATTTTTTGACGTCGTTTATACAGTAGTTCAGTTAATGTAAGCAGGTTCCTTGTCGTCTCTCTAACAAACATGGCAAAAAGCTATTTGGCTGTTGTAGCATCACATACAGGGTTTTGTCGTTGCAGAAATCGTCACAACTTTATCAATATTCGCCTTTCCTTCCAACATTTGAATACTGCAGGACTCATCTCTGTACACTCCAAGTCGACCTCTATACCGCTAAAATAAGCAATTGACTTCCGTAAATTCTCTTTCTCTCTACTTGTAATAATTGTTAATATCGCTCTTTTCAATGTTATTGAACCGGTCTGAATAAAATTGCATGTATATACTGAAAATCGAAAGCAGTATTTTAAATTTAAATACTTGGAACAAGAGAACGTCTGAACGTTAACCCGGTGTTTCTTCGCACCAAATTTCGATGTTCACTGAAACTTCCTCATTCTTTTGTCTTGGCCATTCTGTAAGATTATTTAAGGAAACGAAGCCTTCGGCTGAACTTTACAACAATTATGATTGCATGTTTGTCTACAGTTCAAACTTTTTCATTCCAAACATAACGAACATTAGGTTTGAAACTACTTGTCTAGTTCTTCAGGTGATCGCCAATTTCTTCGCTCGTTTCATCAGCGAAACCAGGCAGGTATCTGTTGTATCTTCATGATCAGGAATAGTGCTATCAAGTATAGATTTATTTGGTATATATAAGACGTTTCATTCCTGCCAGAGATACATTCAGCTCTAATAAACGAAGATCAATATCGATAACGACTATAGCCATTTACATCCAATATACACTATATGCAATTAGGTCAAAAGTTAACGTGCGCGTAAGCAAGCAAGCAGTCAATTATAGTTACTAGTTGCATAGCAATGGGAAAGCAATTTGAATTCGCGCAAAAATGCAAGGCATAAACTAGAGATTTAATATGTTGCACTTTTTAATACAATGAAATATCTAATGTTACATTGTGAAGTGATTCTGTTCTTTTCTTCACATTTCAATGCTTCGTTTAAAGTTGGACCATCGGCATCGACACATTGTCCTCCTCACCACTCGCCATTTTAAACAAATTAAGGAATGCTACCTGATTTGACTGTGACAGACAACGTAATATCTCTCGCAGTCAGCCAATTATGACAACGTCCATTATTACGTCAAACTATAGTTATACGCTGGCATCGGGACAAAGGATGATGGGTAATTACTTAGCGTGCGCTTTATGATGTCATTTCATATTAACCTCACAACGCGTTTGTAAAATTATTAGTATATTATACTCTTGTAGATCACTAGCAGTCTATGTGGCTTTACAAGGTGTTCGTGGAATCATTTTATTGAGGTTTCCATCTCCAATTACCATTTTCTTCTTCGTGCTTTCAATGAGAGAATCAAGTTTTTTCTGATCGTCAAAGATTTTTTGCTTTAAGCAGTTCTTGAACAAAGTGTTTGTTCTTCTCCTCAGTCACATTTCAACGCTTCTTAAGTGGGATTTAACCATTGACACAATATTGTCCTTTTCACCACTCGCCATTTTAAACAAATGTAGGAATTTTACCTGATTTGACTGTGAGAGACGCAACGTAATATCTCTCGCAGTCAGCCAATTATGACAATGTCCATTATTACGTCAAAAGCTTTTATACGCTGGCGTCCGGACAAAGGATGCTGGGTAATTAATCAGCGCTGGCTTTGTGATGTTATCTAATCCAACAACAACGTCCTTTCCACCAGCAAGATCACAACCAACATTTTTATCAGAGAAAACCGCGTAACGTAGTTCAATTACTTAACTACTGCTGCTGCTTGTAATACGCAACCAGTTTGTGAAAATACTACGTGTATTTATTATTTCATTATTATAGCACTGATGAAGATCCGGGCTTACAAATTGAAAGTTTTGCAATAATAAATTTACGTGGTGTTTCCACAAACCGAAGTTTATAGTGTAAACCGAAGTTACTGTAGTATCACTATCCAAAATTACAAAGAACTTATTAAATTGAACTGTAAGTTGAGATGATGAACACATGGCTAAAACATAGGGCAAAACGTACAATTGAACTAATCACAGCCAGGATTGTTTAGGAAGTTTTGAAAATGTAACCTTGTTGCTGTGACATTCACTGGAAATTGTTTTCAAAATCCTTACTAAGTTACTATGGAAATAGTATTGATATTAGTTAAAAATTGTATGAAAAAATCCAATTTTCATACTAATTGCAATTTCCATACTATGGAATAGGATGGATATACTATGGAAATAGTATGGAAATACTATGGAAATAGTATGGATATACTATGGAAATAGTATGGATATACTATGGAAATAGTATGGATATACTATGGATTTAGTGATGCAATCGCAAATTCCATAGTATGAATTTCACTATTTTTTTCTAGTGATTAGGATAGTACAGTTAATAGTAGTTTACATAAGTTTCCTACAGTGTGACTTGGTTGATCAACCACATGCTTCATCTTCATTGGTTGATCATACCTTGCATGCACCAATTTTTGAAAATGTTATGAAATATTTCTCAAACCTTTTTAACTTTCTCTAAAAGTTTCACAGTCATGTTCCCAGTACCAGGACCAATTTCAAGAACTGTATCTGTTGACCTCAGTCCTGCCTAAACACATTCAACATACAGTTTATTAAAATATTTTAATTAGTGAAACTGTTTTTAAAAATTAGTCACTAGTACAAATTTCTAGTACCTTTTCTACCAAACTATTCACAACCAGTGGGTTCTTCAATATGTGCTGACCAAGATCAGTTTTAAACTGAATTCCTGAGAAATTAAAAAACAGACATTAAGTTCATATGATAAGCGAAATATTGTGATATAAAGATTGGTTGAATAAAGGTGCGTTTACACATTGCGATTTGTTGTGTATGATTCATTTTCTGTAGGGGTGCACCTGATTTCAAATCCGGCCGGAATTCCGGCCAGATTTAACAAATTTTCAGGTATCCGGCCGGATTCAAATTTCTGTTTTCACCTTAAACCATCAATTTGGCAGCTTAAGATATTTAAAAAAGGTTTAAATTAAACACAATAAAAAATCTAAACTGACACTAACTAAAAATAGTAAAAACCATAAACCGCCATTTTGAATACTGAATTATCCCAATTTATCCCCATTACCGGTTTATCTCAAATCCGGCAAATCCTGCTGGAATTCCGGCCGGAATTTTTGTCCAAATCCGGTAAATCCGGTTCCGGCCGGATTTGAAAATTCCAAATCCGGTGCACCCCTAATTTTCTGGCATATGAAAATTACTACTGATGCTACAATTCCTCTTCACTTAGTTTATGGCAAAATTTAAAATGCACCCACTTTACACATACTTATTCGATTACAATTATCGAGTGGAAATTTATATACATTTATTAAACCTAACCAGGAACAGAAGCCAAAAATGCAACTTTAGGTCCTTGGCAGGAATCGAACCTACAGCCCTGTGATTCTGGTGTTGATTCTGGTGGTGAAGTTCATGTAATATATATATATTAGGGTACTACTGCCATGTTAGGTTATGGGTATAAATGTCAAGATTTTGTTGGCATCTCACTTGTTCAATAATAATTGAAGGGTATTGTAGATGGAAACTATCGAGTGGAAATTTATATACATTTATTGGAATACATTTATTATATCCATAAGACATTAATAAGGTGTGGGGGGGGGGGGGGGAATAAAGCAAACAGGGGCAAGATCTATTTCTTGACAGCATCTTAATCGATTCATTGACTTCGATTAAAGAGGCCCACCAAGGGTGTAACCCAGGTCGCTTGTCACTCATTTTGCAGCTGCTTTGTCGGTTGTTTTATTGTAATAAATGTCACTGTTACTTTTGACCCATAACACAAATCACAATTTGTCACTTTTTCCCAGTCAGAAGCTGTCGTTTGTCGCTCTTTTTTAGATAGTCTGTCGCCTCTTTTTAAGGAATGTCGCCTGTCGGTCATAACCCCTTGGTGAGCCTCATATTAAACTTTTTACTGATTCTCGTTGATTAAATATGCCAGGTTTAGTGGCAATACACATTCTGAATCTTCCAATCCGAGTTGACGTCATCAAATTTTCATTTCACTATCTACAGATCTTTGCCAAAATTGGACCCCAGAATTGAAATCTTCATGCTCGGGTATAAACTCGCGTCCACACATCATCAAATTTTCGGTATAGACTAATTTGAGCATGAAGATTTCAATCCTGGGCTCAATTTCTGCCAAATATGAAGACGTAAAATCGATAAGTACACGAGCTCGGATTCAATGGAGAAATACTGAATCAGATTTGATAACATTCAAATGAGTCAAATCAGTACGTGAAATATCCAGCCATATAAATGAAACAAACCTTGACTTGTAACTTGCCCATGTTGTCTCGATTTTTTCTTTACTCTCTCTTTAGGCATTTTGACAACTCTCCTTCGATACAATATACCGAAATGTGTTCAAATTTTATTAAAAATTCGACAATCCTTCGATTGAAAATTGATTTAGTTTATAACACGAATATTACACCACGAATTTCCAACATGTTGATTGCAATCCGCTGATGTATTGCGGGCTCGAAAGAAAATCAACTTCAGAACTTCAGCATGTCTCTATGATGTGGTGTTGTTGAAAATCAAACAGGAATGAGAGGTTTGTATGATTAGTTGAAAATTGAAGAAGGCATGGTATGTCAGGATGGTTGAAGAAGCTGGTAGAGCGCTGGAATGGTTACCGTTATCGTTTCGTTCCCTGGATCATGGTTAACTTGAAGAACAGGTAAAGGCATGCAGGGCTGTACTCTGTAGGGAAGAGGATAAAGGGGGGTAGTATCACATTTGTCGACAACATTTCAGTCAATAATTAATATTTTTCCCCAAAATTCTTGGCGAGGGGGGGGGGGGGTAGAAAATTTGATGAATTTGACAATACGTCCGGAAAGGACGTATCATTTTTCCGGACATATGGAAATTTTTCCGAACTTATCATCTATAAAATTGTTAACTTTTTCCGTACTTTTACCAATTTTTTTTATTTTGAGCCATTCAAATATTTTCGCTGACTACGTAAAACAATTTGCCGATAAATCCACCTACAGTATTTGCAGAATCTAGCTGACATTTGCTGAGTCCGTTATGAATCCCCCGATTGTTGTACACCCCCACACCCACCATCAATCAATGAATGAATTGATCATCAACATATCAAACTGATAGAGGAGACATTGATATTTGATCAGTATCAACAATCATTGGTTTGTATTGATTGGTATTTGGTCAATCACATGGAACAAGTTGGTCCGCAACGGCCCCATTAATTGAGTTGGCCAGTTTAGTAGAGGTGCATAGCAGCCGCTATTGGGGGAGGACTTGTGAGTGGGAAATATTAAGGCGGTAAGAATTAGCAGGTGTGAAAAACCATCTGCCGGTTTTCCATATATTTTTCATTGCCGCCAATTTTAATTAATATGCAGGCTACTCGTTTAAGTGATTGATCTGCTTTCTACATTTACTGTATTACCTCTTGTTTCAAATTTGTGATTACATGAGAACCAAACAGGCTTGCTTTGCTGGGCCACAGTTGTTTCTCGCTGAGCCAACCAGTGAACTTTGTATACATTTGGAATTCAAAAAAGTGAAGTCAAGATGGAGGTATTGGCAGACATTCCAACTACTGGAGGTAAAATTTAGGGAGACTGTTCAGTGAATGAAATCTAGTTCTTCTGGGAAAAAATAATAAAAATTAAGTCTTCTGGAATGGTGCGTTTCCTGCATTTTGGGAATATGTTGTTATAAGTGCATGATCCTATAAATTGCCACAAAGTAACTTCATAAAAAGGTCAAGACAGGCTATTAATAATGTTGCCTAAAAACAGTATGTTTTTTATTTTAACGACATTTACTGAATATTCTGAAAAATCGGGAGAATTTGATATAAATCGGGAGACCAGGAGATTGCATGAATTTTCGGGAAACTCCCGGTAAAATCGGGAGAGTTGGAATGTCTGGTATTGGACATCATTCTATTGTTTTTGTTTGTATAGGTAATAGCCTGGTTTCGAGTGCAATTTGGATATAACATGCACAAGTGAATGTTTCAAAGACCTCAAAATAGCACGAGTCCGAAGGCCGAGTGCTATTTGAGGTCTTTGAAAAACTCACAAGTGCATGTTTATCCAAATTTCATGAGAAACCATGCTATTACGTATTAATAATAATTTTACATAAAAATGTTGACAATTGTAGTTTTAACTTACGTTTATAATGAACATTCCACTGGCAAAGTTTTCCTGGCTTTGTTACATGTATATCACAATATTATATATACAACACCAACAGCTTGAAAATTCCACTCAACTATGTAAGTTTTGTTAGTCTCGTTTAAGATATAGGCTTTTCCATTAAAAAAAAAGATAAAAGTCAACTTTTACTTTATGTAGCGCGGCGCCGTGTTTGTTTTGTTTAGAAGTAATCTGTGACCGTTACTTCTTTAAACTAAACTGCTTTAAACTGATTGCCAATGGTTGGTTTTATCATCACATTGTTTTTCCACTAATCAGATCAGTTTGTTACAGATTTTTGCACTGTGATTACAGAAAATTGCACTGTGATTACAGAAAATTGCACTGTGATTGCAGAAAATTGCACTGTGATTACAGAAAATTGCACTGTGATTGCAGAAAATTGCACTGTGATTACAGAAAATTGCACTGTGATTGCAGAAAATTGCACTGTGATTGCAGAAAATTGCACTGTGATTGCAGAAAATTGCACTGTGATCACAGAAAATTGCACTGTGATTACAGAAAATTGCACTGTGATTACAGAAAATGCACTGCAGTTTGGGATTAACTGCACTGAAATCAACCAATTACAGTCGAGTCATATTTTTTATGTATATTATTAGCTTGGTTAACACAAAGCTGCAAAGAATGTGCTGAAATTTTGTGTTTTGACCTTGATACCATGGTGTTATGAACTGATACATGTTTAGAAAACAGTCCATGAGAAAAACCATCTTCATAGATATTGGATATCAATTTCTACCATCCTGGCTTCACTGTTCTCACATGTCAAATGACTGAAGTGGTTGCTCCAGATATATATAGAGCTCATATAAAGTTGAAAATTTAGCATTTCCTCCATGTACATGTTATTGCTTTTGGTTGTCCCTGCAAAGCAGGCTGAAAAATGACCATACAAATAGTTTTAACGAAGCAACTGTATTTTATGCACAAACAAGCAATAAACCTGTTTAGGCCGATACTGAGATACCAACCTCAATGTAAGGCAACCTCATACCACACTCTTTCCTCTACATGCACTCCGTCCTTCCTGGAGGTTGAAATATATTTTAAGGTTTCATTTTAGCGTTCCATGAAAATGTGACTGAAGAGACACCAAATTCAAACCAGAGTTATGAAATATCCCCTACTGTACCATGCTGTGCTGAGTGGTTATATTACTACCTTAAAAAATAAGCAGAAACTCACTACTGTACCATACATTTCAGGTCTGAATGTTGCGGGCTAACTGAATTTTCCAATTTCATTTAAATTGCAGATTTTTTCATCTGATTAACACCCTGTCCCTGTAGAGTAGTTTTCTTGCTTGATATTAAAGAGTGAGTATCATGCCAGTGATCTTTTGCACGTTTGTGTTTACGTTTTATGTTTACATTCGGCTGTATCTCATCAATACACGTACATCACGAACGTTTTGGATAAAAATCCCGCAAAATTTCAAAAGATAAAACCCCTTACTTCGTTAAAAAGACGAAGTAGAGTTGTTTTTCAATCGGATTCAGATAAATATGGGCCAGTACAAATTAAATCTCGAAGATCACTCGTAAATATCTTAATAGTCAGCCATTTTCTGGGCCGCCAAGCGCCTAAAGGCTCGCTGGCATGATACTCACTCTTTAAAATATTTTCGGGCGAGGGTTGGCATTAAAATGCATTTCTAGTAGTCCTTATAAACGCTATATAAAACTGAATTTTTTCAATAGTGCAACACCAAAGTGACAATAACAAAACAAAAATGACCAAAAAGCAACGAAGATATGTTTAACAAAATTTGTATTACAAAAAAGCAACGAAGATATGTGTACCACAATTTGTATAAATTACAGCTCCTGGAAAGCACTATCCACCTCCCAAGTATATGCTAATATGTTTCAGTCTTTCTTAGTGTTCAAATTGTGAAAGATATCTTTTAATTATTTTAACAAACAGACAAGTGAGAAAAGTCCTTGGCTCATCAAATGATAAAACCATTCATGAAGGAACAGCTCTCCAAATCTTGGATAGATACTTCAGTGAACTTGACAAACATGGTGCAAGAGGAAATACAACTTTGAATGAGAAAATAATGGAGAATACTCTTGGCTTCTCAATCACACGTTCACCAAGTAATGTGTCGGGAACTGGAGTTTTTGTTTCATGTGGTAGAGTAAAGAAAGGAAGCCTTGTTTCCATATATCCTGGTATGATTGATAGTATTCTTCAATCCATCCTTGCTCAAACTACTCGACTGCTAACTGATAATACATTATTCTGGTAGCAATTGTACCATGCATGCATTGTATTCATTAATGCATCAGTTCACTCGTGAAATGTTCTTCATTGCTTGTTTGAGACAGTAACTTTATGTGTACGAACTAAGGTTTTTATCACAAGAGAGACAATATAATTATGCATTTCTTCTTATTTTTTGTCATATTCCAGGGACAGTGTACCAATCCCACGAACCAATATTTTTTCAGTCTGTTGCCAATCCATTTATCTTCAGATGCATTGATGGAATCTTAATTGATGGTAAAGACACTGGTTTGTCCAGAATGATTTATAGGTAAGATTTAGTGTGAATAATTGTGTTAATATGTGTTTATTGGAAACTAGACTATTGTTTTTGGATTATTTTATGATCCACATACTTACAGCAAATCCAGCTTACTAGGTACTGGGCCAACTTGGATCCAGATAAATATTAATTTGAACAGATTGATTAATTTAAAGGAGAACGGATACTCGTGCAACCAGGTAGGCGTGGCACAGCAACTACACAAGAGTTACTTAAAAATAAATTTAAAATTTGTAAAAAATATGTGGTTATAATTTCAAACTTTCCTATTGACGATATTGAAATAATTACGTACTGTATATTGTCTTTATATATATATATATAATTTGACAATTTATATGGCGCGTTCTACATGACGAAATGAGCGAAAGTGCCTTACAAGTATGCTAAAAAAGCTTTAAATGTTATTAGCAGGATCTTAAAATTTACCCGAAATTTAACAGGTAACCAATGTAACTTGAAGAAGTGGCGTAATGTGACAAAACTTATGTTCCATAAAAACCAGCCTGGCGGCAGCATTCTGCACTCTTTGGAGTTTATCTAGTTGGTATACAGGCACACCGTATAATAAGCTATTGCAGTAATCTACCCTGCTTGTAATAAATGAGTGAATCAAAGTCTCTGCTGCATCCTGTGACAAATACTTCCTTATGCGTCTAATATTATGAAGATGATAGAAAGCCGCACCGCTGATCTTGGTAATATGAGTCGCCATGGTAAATTTGGCACGGTTTTTAATAAATTGCTCTCCTCTTACCCTGGTTCCAGAGGTTCTTGTGCCGCCGTATTATAAATTACGTAATTTGTACGAAGGAACGGCGAACTTAACGGCCGTTCCTTCGTGCAATCAAATTACGTGAAATAATACGGCGGCACCTCTGGAACCAGGCTACTCTCCTCTCAGTGAAATCAGAAATCATATTTTCATGCATATTTTTCTGATAACCGGGGTTAACAATAACGTACTAAGTACAAAATGTTTCTTTCATAATCAGATCATGTGGACATAGAGACTTGGTTGGCAACAACTTTACATGTGATATGTCATGGCTTACACCCAGTCCCTACAACCTCCTAGCAATTGGACAATACGTGAATAATGGTACACGTGAATTTCCTGCTAATGTAGCCTACCAGGAATTGGATATTCCAAGCAGTTTCCCTTTGCAATATTTACACTTCATTCCCAATGTGAACTATAGTTTCAAGACTTATAAATCAGAAGAACTTCATGTTAGGGTAGTTGTTTTGGTTGCACTCAGGGATGTAGTACAAGGTGAAGAATTGTTCTCGTCATATTTTACTGTTGTTCACTAAGAGATGTTAATTACTGGAACTGTTTTTATTTATCTTAATTTTTTAAATGTTGAGTTGATTCTGATTTTTCATCTTTCGAAAGCTATAATCTATTAAAGGACAGGCGCATGGACGCCGCCATTTCACTGACATAATACTCTGAGCAGGGAATTTCGCGAAATATAAGATGAAACAACATCTGGGTTTGACAGAGAGCCACAAGCGCAGAAGCCCTGAGGACGAGGTTGGGCTTGACAATGATATTTTTATCTGTCTGATAATACTGTAGCTTTAAGGAAATCACATTATCACAGTTATCTTATAATTACGTCACACAGCGTCTAAAGTAAATCACTTTTCGTGTCAACATTCAAAGTTCGAAACGTTTCAATGCTAAGTTATAGTCAGATAACATTTTACCGTTGTCAGTGCGGTTATCAATACACGGAGGACGTTGTAGGAACTTTAGTGACCCATTCGCCCTGGCGGCTCGTGGGCCTCTTTTTGTTTTTACAATGACGTCAAACTGTGCACACATCTTTTAACTGAATATCCAAATTTGGAACCATATCACTGGGTTTTATCAAACACTATCCTACAGTACATGGCCCATGTGTGATGCTTCATAACTTTCTTATACTTACATGACTATATATATGGTTCGATGGTAACTGAATATATGCATTATATCTGTACTGAACCACACTAAATCTTCCACCGCGTGTAGGAAGGTTTCAATAACCACTATCATGCACTTGATTATTCACTGAAAGATGGTGCCAAGTGAGTGTCACACATTATTTAAGTATTTACCTATTCTCATTACTGGAAGAAAAAATCAAAGTTGTTTATTTAATTAGCAATTACAATTTATTTACTGGCATGCATGTTATTTACAAATTGGTTCATTCATAATTATGGACAAGGTATATTCGACCACATTAGACCATGGTCGATGAATTGAATTACTACTATTGTTATTATTTTTGTCCGGTGGGATGAAGCCTTCGCCGATATTACTTCATGCTACAGGCTTTTCTGTGCGATACCTTTCCCAAAACGAAAACTTTTTATTCCCATTTTTATTTGCTTTGTTGTTCCCTTCTAGCCTTATCAAGAAATACTGAATAGGTTTGAAATTGCTCTCGATTTCGCAAAACAGCTATTAGTATCCAGTTTTTGATATACTATATCTTCTTTGGGTACTTATAATGTAGAATAAAGAAAAACATTTCTCGAACTCAAATTTTTTTGAACCAGGGGGGTCTTTTCCAACAAACTAAAAAATGGCTTGCGCTCAAAATTTAAAAGCTTTAATCGTATTTTGAGTTAATGGATGGAAATTTGTTGGGTTTTTAATTACTGTACAAAATTTAAGCCAATTTGCTTCAGTTTAAGCCTTCAACTATCCACGCAAACTTACATTTTTTCCTAAAAAATCAGCCTTTTCCATGCTTAATTATGCCTTTGCCTAATTTGCATATGTCTGATTGTTTAGGGAAAAACGAATTGAACTAAAGCAAATTGTCTAAAATTTTGTAAAGTAATTAAAAACCCAACAAATGTTCCATCCATTAACTCGAAATACGATTAAAGCTTTTAAACTTCGTGCGCAAGCCATTTTTAGTTTGTTGGAAAAGAAACACCCCCTGGTTTACACAATTTGAGTTCGAGTATTTTTTTTCTCATGGAAATGGAATCTATATATATATAACAAAAACTTGATACCACGAGCTGTTTTGCGCAATCGATAGCAATTTCAAATCTGTTCAGTTTTTTTATACACCCTGTATAACTTGTAAGGTCTGTGCTGCCATGCCCATTATGGTAGACAAACGAACGCCTACCACACTGAAAGAAATGTCTTCTCTCAGATTTCCATGAACACTCCTAGCATGAAAAGCTAGACAATGTTCAAACAACTTGTTCTTGTTGGCAGGCAGTCTGGGAAGCGAGATCAGTGGATTAATACGTTTTCCCTTGCGAAATAAAGTTTCTATTCTATTATATGAAGTAAATGACAAACGTCCTAGACTTATAGATCAGCGGAAACTGGCTACGGTCCTAACAAAAGGCCTATATCCTCGAAACACTTTTGTCCAGAATCATAATTATATGCTAAAATGTTGTTAGCCATAAACAACATCACTTGAGTATACCAAGTAAAGATAGGAGCTCGGGGTTCGGATCCAGATGCGGCTTTGTGATTCTTTCTTGATCGCCATTTGATTGTTTTTGTTCTTGTTTTGGTCGTTGTTTATCATAAAATGTAAGTTTGAGTGGTTGAGGTTGAAAATGACCAACTTCATAAGCCACAACCGTCGCATGATCAAGTTTACCAGGAATTGTTTTCCTCTTTTTTTCAAAATCTTCTTTCCTGCAATCTCTGTTTTGCTCCAAGAACATTCTCTTCTCTCGTGTGTTCTGTAGAACAAAATTCATCAGTTTCGCACAAAGTTCTTTGGCAGAGCTTTCTTCACCACAAGGACTTTCTGATTCTATTACCTACAAAATATATGAAAATAATTCGTATGAACTTGGTACGACTCAATTTTCCCTTCAATTTGTTACTTGTAGTCGGGGACGTCGCTACCGGGTGATAATGATCAAATCATCGGGGTGATATGATTGAAATCACCCGCTACGTAAGAGCCTGGGAACTAGGTTGCCGCTACGTCAAGTACGATGACGTAAGGCGTGATTCGATGATAGATTTTATTCTCACGTGGAACAAACTTAGCTTTCTGAATGGACACTTTGAATTTGAGGCATAATAGGGGTGTGGGGGGTAACACCCCCAATAATTCAAAAAGTTGGTCAAAGTTGCAGGTCAAACTTGCCCAAACTTGTCAAAATTGTATATAGGAAAAGTTGGTTAAAACATGACGACCCCCCCCCTCCCAATGTTGATGCCTTCAGGGACGTCGCTATAGTGGGGCACTAATATTCAAACGGTCAAAATTGGTCAAAATGGACCTGATATTTACCCAAAGTTGATCATCAGAATGGAACTGATATTTGCTTAAAATTGAAGGTAAAACTCGGAAAAATTTGGTCAAAGTTTGGGAAACTTGCAATTTCAACAATTTTAAAGCTTCTGTTATGTTTGCGGTGAAAAAATTGGAAACCTGGCATATCTTTGTCGAAAAATTTTGAATATGCTTATGTTATGCGGAAAAAGTTTTTTGGCCTAACACCCCCCTCCCCCCCCCCTCTCCCTCCCCCGTCGACAACATTTTGGGGGAAAATTTGTACGACTTGGTCAAAATCCTAGGAAATGTTGTTCAAAACATGACGACCCCCCATGTTGATGGCTCCGCGACGTCCCTGGATGCCTTCGCGAAGTCCCTGGTCAGACTGAGAACGATCATACAGAGAACATACATATCACTGTTGAAACAACTGTGTGAGCACCATTATTATATACCAAGTGTCGAACATTATGGAAGTTTCCCGTTCATTTTTTGTCTTTAATTTTTCTTTGACACTTGGTACATAATAAAATACTTATTGACTGGAACTTTTGGGAAACAGTAAGCAAGGCAGCGGCAGTCTCGGGTGCACAAAACATACTGTTTCCCTCAATCCCAGTCAGTCAGTAAGGTAAATATTATGCCTTAAATTAAAAGTGTCCAATCAGAAAGCTAAGTTTGTGCCACGTGAGAATAAAATTTATCATCGAATCACGCCTTACGTCATCGTATTTGACGTAGCGGGCGATTTGATCATATCGCGTAAAGCTACGTTTACATGCTGCGATAAATCGTGTACGATTCGTATTCTGGCGTATTAAAATGAGTGCTGGTGCCATAATTCATTGCCGTTTCGTTAAAAAGAAATTTCAAATCTAGCCAGTTTACGCGTGTTCACTCAATGACATACGCCAGAAAACGAATCGTACACGATTAATCGCAGCGTGTAAACGTAGCTTAAATCACGCGTGGTACTAAGGACTGATGAATTATTAAGTTTTTAAACTTCAAAAAAGCTCTTTTTTAACTTTTTAAGCAAATTCAAAAATGTTATCAATATTCCAAACGATATGGGATTCGAAAGAAAAGTGAGAAATACTTGCGTTAAAAAAAAAACACATCGTATTCACGAACGAATGTGGCAAGTTTTATATTCTCAACTTGGAGGCTTTTAATTTTCGGTATAATATATCATTTATATAGACCTTCTGCTCGGGGAATTTCCCAGAGCCATTTCCACGGCACTCGTTGCAAATTAGGCTCTGGGTTAGATGAGTCAAAAGGGAGAGATCTGATTGGCTTCTCAGAAAACTGCTATTTCGCAGAAGTTGAGCAGTTTTCGCTAGGCAGAATTATTCTATCAACATATGTCAACACAAATACTTCGTTTCTTCGTAATACTTCACTGTGAAAATTGTTAGGGTGTGATAAACATCCCAATTCAAGAGCATGCGCTTTAGAAACTACTGCAAGTTTTCTTTCACTTCCGGTTCGGTGTGTCCCAGGGCCTAGGGAGGACGCGAAAGGCCCTGGGGTCTAGGATGCCCCAGGAATGAAATTTCCCTCGGACAAATCCCCTCACTCCAGGTCTACGCGCGTGTAAGAACATATGTACAACTGACATACTGTTTAGACGTGCATCTTCTTAACTTACCTTTTTCATATATATACATGGCAAATCTGTGCACATATCAGCATTATGTGCTTCTCTGTCGACTGGTGCTGAATAACTTCTATCTCGTGTTGCTGGTACATTACTACTGACATCCTCTTGATCTAATAACGACTCTTGAGACTTTGATGGCTTCATAGGAGTTAGCAGATTATCTATGTCTTTTGGTGACGTCATCTTTGATACATTCGGATCAAAATTGTCAGTAATGCCATCACTGGTTAAAAAAACGATGTCTCCTTCTTCCAGAAATGTGAATGAACAAGTCAAGTTGCTGAGATCAGGATCATCACCGACCAAAGGTCCTATGCACCCTCCTGCTTGCTTCATGTCTCTCTTCCCAGAGTCATGGGACCCTGTTGTTACTTCTTGCACACAACCATCTTTTCTGTACACAAAAGCAAGGCTATCACCAACATTGACTACACACAGTCCATAGCAGTTAATACCCTGGACCTTACATACTACAGCTGCACAAAGTGTTGTTATAGTGCCTTTTGAATCAACTATACGCTCATGTGCATGTTTAAATGAATTTAACATAATCTCAATAATCTCTTGTGTTGTGCTTGCTTTATGAAGGTGATTACTTAAATGTTCTATGCAACCTTTCACAGCAGTTCTTGCAGCTAGAAATGAGTTTACTCCCCAACCACAACCGTCCGCAACAGCAAGAAAAGCATTGTTCTCTCTCGCTACCACAGCAAATGTATCAGCATTTGGTTCCCCAACAGGTTTATTTGTTTCAGGATCAGTATCATACAAACTTTGTGATAAACCAAATGCTTTATGATGATGCTTTCTCCAGTCTTGTACACCTGCTATAGGTTTAGTATTTACAGGCTGTGAATCATGGCAATAATTGTAATATTGTATTTCTTCCACATCTAGACATCTTACACCACCTTCAGGTCCAGTGTCTGCGGCCAACACTTCGGTTGTCATGGGAACAATGACACGACATGGTAGATTGGCGCTTGATCTCTTCGAAATGACATGTCTTTTCCAATGAAGTTGATCTCTAAAGAGAGAATATGGAATTATTTAAAGGAGGATTAGGAAGATATTCTGTGGTAGTATTCACAATAGATTTGGTTGGATACAGGATAACGTGTAATTTGATAACGGGAAAGAGGATGAAAAGAGGAAACCTTGATGTGAAATGAGATGCTGTAAAGAATAGTAAGAAACATTGAACGGGACTGAAGTAGTGATGGTCAACTTCAGGAATGTTGACCTGGTTGGGCAACGAATACATAAATTCAAATTTTTATCCGCTTAGTCCACAGTCCTTAGTTCGTGGCAGTGGCTTAAAACAAAAATTACGCTCCACGCGCAAAATTCCGCCCAGTGAAAAACCGGCTTAATTAATTAATGGTTACAGGCTGGTCTACTGCAGGAAACATTTTGATTGATTGTTTGTCCGCGTATAAAAGAAGGCTATGAATAGGTAGGAAAATATGCTACAAATTTACTCGGTGTGTTCATGAATATCAGTATGATATATTTAGATGTTTGTTACTTCAGTGGTCTTCACCCATATATCTGTAAAACAAATCGAGTAAAATCTTACGCAGTTACGGGTACATGCATATAAATATAGTAAATAGTTGCAATATAAATATATACCAGTCATCAGAGTGCGGCTTCGTATACACTTATACACAATATGAATATACCATGAATATACTGTACCGACTTTGAAGTAATATACCATGTTACATGCACAGAAAGTGGTGATCCTAAAATCCCAAGGAGGTCGCACTAGTAGCCTACTCATGTCGTGTATACACAAATTTTGGCCGATAGCCTCGTCGGAATCCTACCTTTCACATAGTTGTACACAACATAACGAATCAAGTTCTGGGTGTACTAAATACACGTCATTCGTACTCATCCCTGCGTAATTCGTAAATGATAAAATATAGCCACAAACAGACCATAATTACCCTCCAAAGATTGTATTTTCAGTGAGTGCTTTGTAAATTCCTATGACCTGTAATCCTATACTTGGGTACACATGCACTGTGGGTCATGCGTAAATGCTAGAACCAATCATATCATCTTAAGACTGACATTAAAAAAATTATATTATATTTATAGCAATGTTATTAAACATCGTCAAGCTGTTACAACAAAAAGCTCAGAATTTCAGCTTATATAGATTACCTGTTGAAACTGGTCGATATAGCAATGTTCCATACGATAAAAAGATTTGTCAACATTTAAACGATTTAAGCGAGGTTGGAACAGCACTGCTGCATGCAGTGTACAAGGTTTACTCATCTCAGAGCGGATTTTATTATATAAGCTTAATCAAATAGACCAATCGTTTCGTTATTTTAATATCATGTCATTCATGACTTGTTTATGCATGTTATTGCAATGAAAGACGAATCTGTGGACTAAGTTTAAGTATAATAGGTATTGCTTTGTCTCCTAACAAATTTTGATCAATTACAAAAATATTCTTCTAATTTTTAATTTGGTCTCTCTGTAAATTTCATACTTTTGAATTCAAATAATTCAATGTACCAGTATTGCCATGGTTTCCCTGTTTTATTATGAAGTATTGCATATAGTTTTTTCTCTGTTTTTATAACACTGAAACTTAGTAAGTCCTATAATGACCTAATGCGCCAACTCTGCCGTCATGACTCGCAGCCTAGACTAGCTGTTTGCACGCTATATAACTACGCTCCGGAAACATCGATATGGATGTATATGCTTATATTAAACCTATATCCTTTAAATTAACACAGCAGAGCATGCAAACACAGTTGCAAATAAGGTTGTGCAATTGTGACTCAAATAAATAAAGTTAAAAGTAAAGTTGTGCACTTGTGCTTCGATCAGTATTAAATATATTGCCAATATATATATTGCATATAATGTAATGTATTGCCATTACTATCAAATTTGGTACCTGTAAAATATTGGTACCGGAGCTTAAGATGTGCTTAATCTAGTGCTGACGTAAAAACAAACAATTTGTTACAGCTGCTAGGTCTGCAAACAAATTATTGCTGATTCCAAGTCTGTTCACAAGCTGTCGACAAAAGTTGTGTTCACACTGCAGTGCTTGTTCCCAGTTGTTGTAACGAGTTTGGAACAAGTTGTTAAAGGCAGTTGTGTTCCAGTCCTCTACGGCAGGCTCGAGTTACCGAATCCTCGTTCCCAGGGCTTCACGGCTGCCACGATGGAGTTACCGTTGTATTGTACATTGACAATAAACTGGTCCAGAAATTGGAAAAACTAGTATTGCCAGGTGGCCGGTATAGTGCATGATACACAGTTTCTCTCCTCCGCAGAAGTTAAAGTATCAACAACTATTTATTCATACCCAAAAAATATAATTTCAATACTTTGTAAGTAGATTATACGAAAATATAGTTATATATTAAAATTCCTCATCGCAATTTCTGCTGTTACCAAAATGTGTCCAAATTTCGTTTGCGAGACAACATCAATTCCTAGTATATTATACTAGCTGTTTGTTTGTTTGTCCGAAATTTGCGCTTCAGCACACGTGTTATTGCGCTAGAAGGTAAAAAAGTGACGTTTGACGGTTACTTTCATCTTTTTACCTTTTAACGCAATTACGAATTAATAAATTAATTAATTTCTAAGTTAATCCTTTAAAAGCGGAGGAGAGGGGTCAAAGAATCTTGTATTGATAAAGACGCAGGAAACGTAAAAATACAACAGTAAAATTCTTTTTTGAAGGTTATTTATATATTTCTAGAATACAGTGTATACTTGTAAGCCTGTCAAGTTCATATACTGAAGTACTTTTTTACACTTATATTAGGTAGTCAGAGGTATAAATCATACAATTTGAATAATATGACATCATCAAAGCCTTGGAAATGACTTTCCGGACAAGATACGAAATCAGGTGGAGTGATGTGTATTATTGGAGCAAATTTTGATTAAATGATCAATCATTTGATCATTACTTCCTTTCATTTTAATTTGGAATATATGAACAATCTCAGTCACAAATAGACTTGCCACAAGTCGACCTCGTATGCGGAGCGACGAAGTCGCGAGCGCGAGTTAATTGACTTCTGCAAATTTCTTACTGTTCAAGAAATTGCTTCCTTGAAAATTCCTTCGTTCTAAACAAAAACGAAGGACTTTGCGAAAGACTCAGTCACAAATAATAATGCAAGAAACTGAATAATTTTCGTTTTGCGCGCGCAAGATGCGGAAGATTTATGATAAACTGATCCTCGTCCTCAATTATTGGCTGCTGGGGGAATTCTTCAGGGGTAAAGTGTTTTGAGTTTGGAATTCTTCAGGGGTAAAGTCTTTTGAGTTTGGAATTCTTCAGGGGTAAAGTGTTTTGAGTTTGGAATTCTTCAGGGGTAAAGTGTTTTGAGCTTGGAATTCTTCAGGGGTAAAGTGTTTTGAGTTTGGAATTATTCAGAGGTAAAATGTTTTGAGATTCGAATTCTTCAGGGGTAAAGTGTTTTGAGCTTGGAATTCTTCAGGGGTAAAGTGTTTTGAGTTTGGAATTTTTCAGGGGTAAAATGTTTTGAGTTTGGAATTCTTCAGGGGCAAAGTGTTTTGAGTTTGGAATTCTTCAGGGGTAAAGTCTTTTGAGTTTGGAATTCTTCAGGGGTAAAGTGTTTTGAGTTTGGAATTCTTCAGGGGTAAAGTCTTTTGAGTTTGGAATTCTTCAGGGGTAAAGTGTTTTGAGATTGGAATTCTTCAGGGGTAAAGTGTTTGAGCCTGGAATTCTTCAGGGGTAAACTGTTTTGAGTTTGGAATTCTTCAGGGGTAAAGTGTTTTGAGTTTGGAATTCTTCAGGGGTAAAGTGTTTTGAGTTTGGAATTATTCAGAGGTAAAATGTTTTGAGATTGGAATTCTTCAAGGGTAAAGTGTTTTGAGCCTGGAATTCTTCAGGCGTAAAGTGTTTTGAGCTTGGAATTCTTCAGGGGTAAAGTGTTTTGAGATTGGAATTCTTCAGGGGTAAAGTGGTTTGAGTTTGGAATTCTTCAGGGGTAAACTGTTTTGAGTTTGGAATTCTTCAGGGGTAAAGTGTTTTGAGCTTGGAATTCTTCAGGGGTAAAGTGTTTTGAGCTTGGAATTCTTCAGGGGTAAAGTGTTTTGAGTTTGGAATTTTTCAGGGGTAAAATGTTTTGAGTTTGGTATTCTTCTGGGGTAAAGTGTTTTGATTTTTGAATTCTTCAGGGGTAAAGTGTTTTGAGTTTGGAATTCTTCAGGGGTAAAGTGTTTTGAGCTTGGAATTCTTCAGGGGTAAAGTGTTTTGAGCTTGGAATTCTTCAGGGGTAAAGGATTTTGAGTTTGGAATTCTTCAGGGGAAAGTGTTTTGAGCTTGGAATTCGTCAGGGGTAAAGTGTTTTGAGCTTGGAATTCTTCAGGGGGTAAAGGGCCGTTGAGTTTGGAATTCTTCAGGGGTAAAGTGTTTTGAGTTTGGAATTCTTCAGGGGTAAAGTGTTTTGAGTTTGGAATTCTTCAGGGGTAAAGTGCTTTGAGTTTGGGATTCTTCAGGGGTAAAGTGTTTTTGAGTTTGGAATTATTCAGAGGTAAAGTGTTTTGAGTTTGGAATTCTTCAGGGGTAAAGTGTTTTGAGCTTGGAATTCTTCAGGGGTATTAAAGTGTTTTGAGATTGGAATTCTTCAAGGGTAAAGGGTTTTGAGTTTGGAATTCTTCAGGGGTAAAGAGGTTTGAGATCGAATTTTTTCATAGCTTGGAATTCTTCAGGGGTGAAGGGTTTTGAGCTTGGAATTCTTCAGGGGTTTAACTGTGAAAAACATGTATCCTCGACAGGGGGGTACGGATATTAAATGGAATAGCCCAATTTCACCGGCTATGACACGAATGCATGCTTTACCTGCACCAATTTACCATTTTCTAAACAAAATAGCGTTCATAGGTGATACACTAGGTTGTCTAGGCAAAATGTTTATGTTAATTGCTATTTTAATACGAAAGTTGACGTTTAACTCGAGTTTCGTGTATCTGACTCAGGAGTGAGCAAAAGACAGTCGGCCGTGTTGAGAGGTCATCTGTGACTGTGTGTCAATACAACTATGAACACTCGCATTAAAAATGAAATATGATCTGAAAGGTTTGACGTAATATTATTAAAGCACACAGAAATTTCCTGTTGTTTTAATTTTGCGATGATTGTGAGTGAGTTCAAGGGCAAGGACCAGAGTACGTTTGCCTATGGCTACGGTTACACTGTATACGTGTTAGTTTTCCGTAGCGACGTAATAAAACACCTACCCGTATACCTTTTAGAAAAGCTATTTTCAGTGTAATTATTGCAATGGAGATATGCTGTTTCGTTCAGCTTCTCAAAGTTGTACATTCCGTATCAGATAGGTGCTTTTATATATAGTGTAAACGCAGCCTATAATATATGATTCGGTCATTTCAGCTTGTCCAAGCGACTCTTGGCTGTCTTACAATTATATAACTGTAATTGAATGTATATACTATACATACAGCATATATATGCAGTCTCGGAATATCTTGACACGTACCTGTTGAAAAGCCTGTAGGATAACATTGTCTTAGTCGAGTAATATACTAACTTCTTGCCGTACGTACGTCATACATATTCTGCCATTTATGTTGCTGCAACACTTCACGGAACTTGATATAACATTATAAATGTCTTTATGTTAAACTGAAACTACTGGCTCATATTTGTATGGCTATATATGTAAATCACAATCACATGTAAATTAATATTAGATCCATTTACTGACAACAGTCGCACTAAAGTTTAAATGGCGAAAACTATACGTATGTCGTGCATAAATACAGGCGATGAGGTAATCTTAGGACTGCATAAATGAATACAAAAATTCAGCTGATCTTACTCTAAGCAGAACACAATTACGTCCCACCTACACCATGGAAACGGAGACGTATGGTTGCATTATTGCATATTTCATTACGACGCCCACGCCAGTGTGGTGATATGGCTAAATTGCAACAAAAAACCTAAGGTGATCCTTCAAATGTGACATTTAAATTTTGGTTTGACGTAAAACAGTAATGCGTCAGTGTTTACCAAATTAAGCATGAGTTGAGCATGCACAACTGTCGTCATGAGTGACGCAGCACAAGTGTATCATGGCCATATTTGGCATTTTAATCTATGTAGCAATACAAGCAATGATTTTTCTTGCATAGAGAATGTATTGTTTCAATTACAAGCATTTATATAGTTTTTGGTGTATGTATTATATTTGGATAATTCTAAGAAGAAATGTAATATATCTTATAATAAAATCCTGGTGTTGAACAACTTTTTCACACTCATGGGATATGTTGTCTTTACCTGAAATCAGTTGGAGCCGAAAACAATGGGAAACTAATTTGCAAAGTCACCTAATGACGGCATTACATCCGTAATGACAGTGACACAATTGATTAAAACGAGTTTTTTACAACAAGGATATATTTTCATTTCTTCTTGTATACAAATATTACACCTACAAAAAATATTTGGGGTTCATTGCACTTTAATTCTGATAATGCATTGATTAGCATTTTCTATTTTTCATGCGCCTTTTCTTTTGTTTTTATCTCGCGTGTCATCATCCGTGATGTAGTTTTTGCAGTATATTTGCCAGTTCTAGAGACGCAGCCATGTGGTCGGGGGGGGGGGGATGGATGATTGCGGAATGATTATAATGTTAGCCTAACACTCAGTAAAACATACGAAATGACCGGAACGTGATCTTGAACAAACAAAACTCAATGCCAATGGCACTAGAAATATTAAATATGGATAGATCGTTTTCATATAGAATATTTTTTTGATTATTCACTATATAATGCATTGCCGTG